ATAGAAAAAATAAAATTAACGACCGACTAAAAAACTAGCTGCTTTCACCCTTCACAGGGCTCTTCAGGTTTATTCAAAAGAGAACAACGTCGTGACGTCACAATTACATGTCATCACACTACAATAGTAACGTGACGTCACGAAGTACACAAGATTGGTGGACAATTTGGCGTAAAATTTTATTGTGGCCTGTTGAGACTCGGTTTTAATATTTTTATTAGTTGGTCTTCTTTCGTTTCTCTTAAAATAGTGTCTGATGAAAATAGTTGATACAAAGGTAATACATTAAATTTATCTCCAGCACATTCATGAATATGTTTGTTAACATGAAGATTTCGTAAAGAATCAGTTCTAGTTTGTTGTCTATGTACAGTCATACGTGTTCTGAGTTCATTACCGGTTTGACCGATGTAAAAATCACCACATTTAGAACAAACGATTGCATAAATTACATTTTTTGATTTACAATTCATATTTACCTTCACAGTAAATTTCAAACCATTCTTGAAAATAAAAGTATTACACTCGATAATCATAGGACATGTAGCACATCTTGGTGTCTTACATTTGGATACTTTTGGTGTTACACAAGAATTATCAAACTTAGAACATGTCAACATACGTTTCAAGTTTTTAGGTTGGCGTCTACAGTGTAAAATAGCATGTTTATTAAAAATGTTTCTCATACGCCTGCTACTTTGCTTTAACTCTTCACATTTGTTCTTTATCACAGGAAACATATTACAATTCCGTGGATTGAAAGTAGAAACAAAAGGAACTAACTTTGATTCATCCTTTAGTTTTTGTAGACGGGAAGTAAAGGGTCCCTTTTCAATAGCTTTCTGTATACCATGTTCTATTATCTCAGTAGGATAACATTGAGCTTTAAGGTATTGCTTTAGTTGACTTAGTCTAGCAATTTGAGCTTGTTGGTCACTGACGATAGTGACAATCCGTGAGGCAAGATTAAATGGAATATTAACTTTAGTGTGTTTACTGTGGTTAGAGTAAAAATTTAGATAATTATGTGCATCTGTAGCTTTACAATATAAATCCGTTGTAATCTTATTTGAATCTAGTTGAACTAAAACATCTAAGAAAGGTAAAGACGTTTCGCTACACTCCATCGTATAACAAATAGAAGGATGTAAAGAATTCAATAGGTTTTGAAATTCATTTAAATCCTTATCAGAAGGCCATATAACAAAACAATCGTCAAGGAACCTTAAAAAATTATTTCTGATAAATTCAGTAAAGTTTTCCCCAAACTTTGTCTCAATCTTAGAATAAAGTGTTTCCTCTAAGTATCCTAAAACTAAGGTTGCATATATATAAACGCGTATATATGCTAATTATCTTATTTTGTTGATCATCATTTTTTTCAAGTCTGTCCTGTTTCTGTTGTTTCAAGGAAACAGGTGAATAACTATTCTAATTGGGGCCAGTCAGGAGTGGGCGATTGGGTTTGGGAGGGAGCGAGCCGTTTTTTCTGTATTCCGAACTAATTTCAGCAAAGTTGCTAAGTCAGATGAAATGAACATTCCCGACAAAAGCACATAATTTTGTTCACGTCTACTCATCACCTTATGTTTCAATTTTTCGGAGCCGCTTCTTTATCTGTGGTATTGGGGCCTTCTTGGATTAAATAAATGGCCGACATGTCAAAACCTTTTACGAAAGATATATTGGTCGCGTCAACTTTCCGACAACGCTGGTTTTTGTCTGCACTTAAACTATCCAGGCCAACAAGAGTGTTAAATATACGATATACGATTGCTGTAAAGCAGAGATACTTCCCATTACGTTTCATATCAGATGACAGCGACTTGTAATTTATAAAATTTAGCTTCCGGTCTATGAGAATAAACGACGTTAATGATTAACCCTAAGGCTTACTTAGGTATACATTATCAAGCAAGCTGACAGCTAATTTTTAACGGCATTATTAACATTACGACTTACTTTAGATTAATTACATACATTATCAAAATGTTGGCAAACTTTTATGTGAATCTCTGTATAGTCTGTTAATATATACTGTTAATACCTGCGAACTAGAGTATACGATCATGTAGACATAGGCAAATATTATCCTGGAGCTTATATCAGCTATTGGTAATGTTGGTTTGGTCTGGTTTATATGTAGGGTTAAACGTCGTATCAATCGTTAGTCATTTAAGGATATGGTGATGTTGTAAATGTTTGCCTTTAAAGCTATGTCATTCCACGTGGACTGTAAATGCCATACCAACACAGTTCAGTGAGCATATATATTTACCAGTTTTAAGAGTATTTTGATAGTTTCTAAGTCAAAATATGCTGAGTAAAATTCGAATTTAGACTAGACTAAAAGTGTATCTATCGTGTTCTTGTTCAGTGAAAAGCACAGACAGTCGTTTCCTGACGTCATAATAATGAGGGCGTCGACAGGTAGGTAATGGCAGTCAGCAGCCTGTATGAATGCCATCTGAATTTGGTAATATCACGGAATTAGATTGTTATCTAAGTCCGTGGTAATATGAATATATGTAAGCATTCATTTCCCCTATGAATGCCAACTGAAAGCAGTTCAATACTTATATCAGAGACGTATAATACATGTATTATACGTCTCTGCTTATATTTACCAATTTTGGAATCTGTTCATCTCATAGAAAGCTCAATTACATTTACTATTAATTAACATTTAGTAAAAATAATGTGTGTATCGTGTATGCTTGTTCAATGAATAGAATAGCCATCGCCCAGGGAGGGTCAGTGGTATCCAAACTACCAATTATGACTTCATAATAATGATGACGTCAACACTGGGGATAGAGTGGAAATTAAACTATAGTGAACATTACAGAGGCTATTTATGCAAATGTTAATTCATGCGTGAAAGTCAGTCCGATGTTAAATCATAATCGAACAACTCTGCTCGAACCAGTTCAACCGTTTGGAACCCGATAAAAGAAGGCGGGCATGCCTAATTATCCCTGAATTTTTTTCTGAGAGTTATCTTCCCTGAAATGACAGGTGGCGTTTGTGTTAGAATGGCGACTAACTGTCAAGTGAAAGTGGTTTAGTTACTGAAAATCGTTAAAAACAAAGTTTGTGGGAGTGCCATGCCATTGACAGATTTGGTTGGACCGTAAGTGAGAATATGCATGACATTTTCATATTTGACTGGGTGTTAAACCTACTTAATTTGACTCCGACATGTTTATTATGGCATTGTTTACAAAACCAGCTGCGTTCAAGATCATAGGTGAACTTCTCACTGTCAGTGATCTGTTCGTTTATGTAGACACACCGGTTTCTCCTTTCTTTAAATGTAACATTGTCGGGGATAAATCTTGACGGACCTGTTAATGTTGATACAGACATTGTAAGTCTTTGTCAAATCTAGAAACCAACATCAATAGGTCCGTCTCTGATCAAATCGTTTGAAACTCATGCTCAATAAACGAAAAGGGACAAGTGCCATCATTCAGTACTGTACTAGGCCTACCACAGGCTCAAGATTCTTGATGTCCTGGTCTAGCAATTTATCGGTTAATTTGCAAATGTCAATAACAGTTTTTTATTGGCAGATATTTTACAGGAGATTATGATATGTATAGAACTATATATATATAGGTACATTCTGTAGTATTCATAAGAAAAAACTTTCTAATACAGTGACCTGCCATAGTTCAGTTCAGTTTTCAGATTCCTCCGATTATTTGGCAGAGCACCCAAATAGGTCCTTGGTATTTATAATTTGGTTGGATTGGCGAGGTCCTTTAGAATATAATACACTACAGCACAAGGAATTCACACTGGGGCTATGTACAAATGGACGTATTTACATGTGTCCCTATCATCAGCCCATCATGAAACTCAGTCCATTCATGAGTAGTAGTAATCCGGATATAATAATGTCAGTAGGAAAGGAGGAACATCATTGACTGCTCAGAGATTGAGTGCAGATAGGTAACAGGTTCTCTTCAGATGTATGTTGGTTAGGAACTCCCTTCTTATTTGCGTTTATTATGCATATGTTGATCAGTAAGATGGCGAGAACAGTCGAGGATAAGTTGAGTGAAGCTCTCTGGGTCTTCCAGTGGATTCTGTTTAGTCAGTCCAGGGATCTTGATGAGATTTCTTTTGCATCAGAATCTAATATCCTCCAGTCTGCAGCATTCAGCTATGAAGTGGCATCTTGATTCAGGTTGGGAGTCACAGAGTTTACAGGTGGGGTCAACCTCAAATTGGTTGAATCTGGCTCGGTTTGACTGCAGAATGTACGTTCCAGTTAGAATCCTAGCTTTTAATTCTGCTCTCTGTGTGTCCCTTTGTATTGGATTTGTCATTGAGTATAGATGGTGGGGTACTCCAACTTTCAGTGCATCCGGGTTTAGATATTTCAGAGAGGGTTTCTCTTTTACCTCATACCTCCATTTAGATTCCACTTTCCCGTTTATGGCCGCATTGAGGATGAGTCTCCATTCATATTTATTTGGGGTGTTAAGGAGCAGATGGTATGCTGTTGGCAAGTTGTCGAGTTGCAGTAGTCGCCAGATCTCTGAGAAGATGCTGGGTTCATCAGCTGACTTTACAGCAAGTTGCCGCACAGCAATCCGGTATTCGATGGAGTTTGGTTTAGACAGGACACAGTGAAAGAGGTTGAGCAGGTTTTTGTGGATGACGGTGGTGGTAGGCAGGATACCGACGAGGCCGAGAACAGCCTCGGAGGGTGTTCTGTCTGGTAGGTGCTGCATTTGATGCAGATACTTCCTCTGAAATCTCTCGAGGCTTTCCAGGTAGGACTTGTTGAGGAGCTGCATCTCCAGGCCATACAGTATTCTGGGAATGATGTTAACTGACCAGATGTATCCCTTTGAGGTTTGGCTTAGCCCAGTCTTGCCATGCAGACCTGCTCCCATGAGGGAGTAGACGGTTCTCCTTCCCTTTTCAATCTTCTCCTGCAAACTGGATTTTCTTTCTGTGGATCTTAATATGCCGAGGTGGACTGTTGTTTTGCCAAGTTGTACTTCCTTGCCTTGGAGGATAGGCAGGTTAATGTCCTGATTTGAGTTGTACTGGAGGATAGAGCTTTTCGAGGGATGTATCCGATACCGGCTACTGTTGCTGAATTGCTCCACAGTGTCGACCATTTGTCTCATTTCTGCATCCGAGTGGGAGAGCAGGGCAAGATCATCAGCACAGGTGACGTGAGGGATGTGTATGTTTCCGACAGTGGCACCCTGATATTTACCCTCTAGTTGTAGGAGAAGGGGGTTATTGTAGCGCTTATAATGCTCTGTTGAGAGGACTCCTCCTTGTCTAACACCTTGCAGTAGATTGATTTCCTTAGAGAGTGTTACTTGCCATTTTACTCTGGATGTCATATTCTCATAGAGGTTATGAAGAAGGATCCAGTCTGGGCTTTGTATACGATTGAAGAATAGTTGGTGAAGAGGATTTTCATGATTTACCACGTCGAATGCCTTCTGTGTACCAAAGGTCATGAGCAGTAGTTTCTCCTTGTTTGATTTGGCTTCTAGTTGGCATTCTGTGATAATTACGGCCTATTTCGCTGATGAGGTTCCTTTTATGAAACCCGATCGGAGTTGGGACTGGGTTCTCAGGAGGATCGTTTTATGTCTGCTCTTTAGTACATGTTCCAGTATCTTGAGTAGTACAGGAGTAACAGTGATTCCTCTATAGTTCCCTGGTTCATCTGTTGGACCTTTCTTGTGTACAGGTGTTAGCAGGCCGAGTTTGAAGGCTACTGGTACCTCTTTCCGCTGCTACATCACGTTTACTATCGCCTTCAGGTTATCCAGAATCCTATCTCCTGCATAAGTATTAGGTCAGTGATCAATCTCTTGCATGATATTTTACGTATTTATATCAACCCTTAATCTGCATTAACCATCCATAAATAAAAATAATATGCCAAAAATTATATTTAAATACATACAGAATAAGAATTCAGGTGTTGAGTCACTGTTTTGACTCTTTATTTATCCCACCATGTAAGTTCTAACTGTTGTAAATTAGTGTAGTAGATTTTGATTGTCTGATACATGTGTGAAGGGTATCCCAAGAAAGGAGGTGCCACATGATACATTGTATGTACTGTGGTTCATTTACAGGAAGTGATATCTCATTACCATAGCAACAATGTAACCGTGGCTTCCAACAGTCCTCTTTAGTGAGTGTGATGGAACTGATATGGTTTATAGTTTATGGGCCAGTGATCCTTTCTACCAAGTATGCCTGTCCATCTGACTGACATTTAGCATGCTGTGGCTGTTACGAGTGTCTGAAGGATACCAAAGGTTGACCTGCCTGATATCAAGGTAACTGATTCAGATTTAGTTAACAAAGTCATTTAAGAATAAAATGACGGTAAAATTCAGCATCTGCAACATGTGTAGTTTCAACACCTACATGTGTTTATAGGTGATTTTCATTTGACATTATGTTTTGAAATCAGAAATCATAAATTGTTCTAGCTTAGTACTATTATTGTATTATTCTGAATATCATTATTAAGTATGATTTGCTATTGATTTGTCAGATGAAGCCTGATGTGTCAGATTATGTGGACCAGTATGTCCGTGCAGTGTACGATTTCAACTCGACACAGAGAGGGGAAATAAATCTCTCAAAAGGGGAGATAATTCGTGTGTCATCAGTGGTGGACAGTAATTGGCTGAGGGGAAGGAAAGGAGACATTGAGGGAAGTTTCCCGGTGAGTTTTGTGGAGAAGATATGTTTACCTGCTGTACAACTCGGGCAGAAGGTGTTTGGGGCTACAGAGAACTTTCCTTCTCAAGAACAAGGCGACCTGCAGTTCAAGAAAGGTATATGGATTTCAGTAGCAGTTTTATGGCATAATTAGATCATAATTGAAGAATGATTAACTCTTTTTTCCTTGTCTTCAAAGCATTCCTTCAAGCCACATATATATATTGCTAGTGGAATGCTGGGATATAGGGCTATCAAGTTTATGCAAAGAATGATACAAATGTTATTAGAAATGGTACTACAAAAGCCTATTAGAAATGGTACTACCAATGTATTAGTGTTGTAGACAAGACATTTGGTGTGACATGTCACTGATTCAGTAATTTCTTTAGCCAATTATTTCCCATTTTCAGGTGTAGTGGTCATTGGTCTGCACCGAATAGATGATAACTGGTGGGAGGGTAAATCTGGAGGTCATAATGGGATATTCCCATTGACACATGTGATGGAGCTAGAGGTCCCCTCCTCTCTTCGTGAGAGGTCCAAGAGTGTGCACTCGTCTGAACCAATGTTTGCCAGAGCCCTTAGGGACTCGGTGGCCCAGCTGGACGAGGAACTAGGGTTCAAGGCTGGGGACATGATCACTATCAAAGAGGTGGTAGATGCAGACTGGTATATTGGAGAGCTGGGCAGTCGCTCAGGCATGTTCCTGGCATCCTGTGTTGAGCTATTACAAGATACCACTGCCCAGGATGATCACTGTAAGACCGACTCACATCAGGATAACTCCCGTCAGAACTCCAGTGCTGCGGAGGTGAACAATGTAAAAAGTAAGCCATACCAACCAAATTCTTCTCTACACAAAAGTGATACAAATTCTGTAGGTCCTACAGATAATACTGTATCAACTACGAACTCCAATGTGTCTTCAGATGCTGATTTGACTTCACGTTCCACCTCACATGAGTCAGACATCACACCGTATGCACGAACTCTCTACCCCTTTGTAGGACAGTCTGACGACGAATTGACATTCCGTGGAAATGAGATGGTGTATCTTATACAACATGTGGATGATCAGTGGATAGAAGGAGAATTGGAGGGGAAAACTGGACTGTTTCCTGCCTCTTACGTGTCCATAATTGTTGATTGCCCTTATGCATCTGGTCCAGTATCGACAGATCTTTCTTCTGTCGACCAGTCAAGTAATCAGTGTTCAGTGATTGGTGGGTCTGAGGAGGTGTCAGAGGGCAGTGTGGACCCACAGTTAAGGAAAACTGAGAGTGTAGTGCATAAGTTCAGTGGCAGTGATCCCAAGGTAGGTCGTTATGGACTGGTCAAGTTCACGTTTGTAGAGGAAAACAGTGGAGACCTGAGTGTCATGGAGGGAGACACTGTTCTTATTTTGAAACTTATTGATGAGAATTGGGTCATGGCCCAGGATGACAGAGGCAAGGAAGGAATATGTCCTAAAAGTTTTGTAGAAATCTTTGATGATAGTCCAGACTTCCAGCCACAAGGAAAGTCAGTTACAGAGTCAGTCAGGCCAGTTGTTGATGAACAGTTAGCTGGAGTTCAAGTTTACAAGTCACCAATGCTCAGCAAACATCATTCATTGAACGAAATTTCAAAAAATCAAAACATTGATAAACCCAAGTCATTGGTGAAACCTTTGGTGTCCCCAAAGCCAACCCTTAAGCCAAAACCAGCATTACTTCCAAAGCCTGTTGGGCCCATGAAGGCCACCTTCCTGTCCAGAGTACACGCCGTTGAGGAGAGTAGCAGTATGCAGAGGTCTCCGTCCTCTCCTGTGTTACAGAGTGCCATGGTTCCAGATGCAAACTCAAAAACTAAATCTTCCTCTACTTGTGAACTAGATAGGATGGGGTTGGGTCAGCCACCAAGATGGACTGATGGGCCCGCGATCAACAAAAACCTTGACTTTCTGATTGCTGGTGAGATGGAGAAGGCAATGGAAGAGACACGTTCCCGAAGCTCAAGCATTCAGAGTACAACCTCCTCTGGGTCAAGTGTCGGCTCAGTCACAAAAGATACTGAGGCTCAGGGGTCACTGGCTGTCCCTATGAGAGCAAAACGTCCTCCTCCACCTAGCCAAACGTCTATCAACCAACACAGACACACTGTAAATTTTCCAGTGACCTTTGACTCTTCTGCAACTCAACAACCACGCTTCAGTAAACAGAACAGTCTTGCAACATCCCCAGGCCTGAATAGCGGTAATGAAATAAGTGTTGGTAACTCCACATTCTTCACCGACGTCTTGATCCCAGATCGAAAAATCCCTGTCATGAGGAAGCCTCCGCCTCCTCAAAGGACTGCATCCATTGATACTTTTGACCGCAAGCTGTCATTGAGAAAACCTCCTCCACCTCGCCCCACAGTCCCTCGGGGTAGTTCACAGGACACTCGGACTGGCAAGACTGTACCTCATAGGTCTGCTCCCCGCCCTCCCAAAAATGTGCGTGTTCCGTCCCGCCCCGCTCCACCCACCCCTTCACAGATGTGCCCTCCTCCCCCCAAGCGACCACCTCCAAGGAGACCTTTGTCAGAGGAAGCCATTGAAAAGTGTAAGTAAAAAGCTTTGTGTTGTTGAATGTTTTGTTCATTTCGCATTTTCCAAATCTATTTTTTCTGTCACAGAGATATAGCATTCTGTTGGTTCATTTGTACATAAGTACCATTTGTCATCGCTCTTGTGACTTCATTTCTTAAGGATCTTTATCAACTTTCATAGATCGATCAAGAAGGAGGATATCTTGAACCAATGTTAACTCTTGGGCTCTTTAGCTTTTCTGGTCTGAAGGACCCAGGACAGCTAATCCATGCTGAAACATCTGTTTTCCTTCTGTCAGTTTGTCCGACATCAACTTTTTCCTTTAAAAGCCTGCAAGTGAAACAACGTTTCAAAACTTCATTCCCGAAATTCTGCGTGTAGAATAGACACAAGGAATTAAACACAGTTTGTATTGACATAATATAAAATTGCAGATGAAGCCAATGCCGAGATCATTCGGGACTTACGTAACAGGATACAGGAGGTAGAGCAGGACTTGGAGGTGAGCAGGCTTCATTACAATTATTGCTGGCAACATATCTAGCTGTCCTAATCATTTTGTAGTTAAGAAAAATAAATGAATTAGAATATTTGATGACATGGAATTTATCTGGAAAAAGTAACATGATAATGACTCCCATCATGCATTCCTCATGACTGAAAAGTATCTTACAAATATCCGCAGATAAACTTTAAATAGTCGATAATACCGGAATGTTATGTAAAGGTGTGCTCAAATGGTGAATTTATACCATGTTGCAGCATCAGGTCATCTATTCTTCACACATAAACATTTACCTCATATTGCTACTAGTCAAGCATGCCGATTTTTGACACGTGCGTTAGGTAACGCAGGTGTCTAGGGGATTGTGCATACTACAAAGTTTGCTTAACCCATCTGTAACCTTATATGGTCTCTTTGCCCTATATAGAATCTGATTTCTCCTTATATGGAACAGAATTCGTTACTTTTCATATATTCATATGCAAATGTTTTTGGCAGCGATCCCTAGCATTTTCATTCATACCGTAGTGACGCCATTTTGTGGTTAGCCAACGAATAGGCAGAGAAAGCATTCACTTCAATACTTTTGTGGGAAGTTAGGTTTTTGGCTTCTCTCATTTGTATTACTTGTTTAGGTATAATTGATGTTTATGATTAACAGATAGGGATCTGTTTCTTTCAGTGAGGCCAAATGAAATTAATTACTTGGTTCTCAGGCCATTTTTTTTCAAAATAGATGCGGCAGGGCAGTATCTTGAACCCCCCATTCCTTATTTGTACCGAAATGAGCGCCATTTGTACACAAGACTCATAATCATTTTAACGCTTGCCTGTATCTCAATCCTTACCTTTAAATTTTCTGGATTTTATTTAAAGATGGCAGCTGGCGCATTCACGTTTTTTTTTTATTACTTTCACGATAAAATTGGCAATGCGCACAGTGCCATGAAATGCGTGCGGGCCTGAGAACTAAGTAGTCAATTTTTTGTGGTCTTAATCACCATAACTTAGGGTAGAGCTTTTCATTTTGTTTATGATTCCAGAAGATTAGCTGCTACTATATCGGTGCTGATATTTGTGTGTTTACACTTTTGAGACGGCCAGAAGTGGGTGATAGTATTAACAGGAATAGGTTCTCGCTCCTCGCTCACATGCTTTTAGATGGTGAGACGGGGTTTGAGGTTTAAATCATCATCGAGGCTATTTGGTAGGGGAGCAAGGGGTTAAAAACAGCGGGTTTTCACAAGGATCGTCGTCTCGATAGAATCGTCCCGCCGACTCACTTCTCCTGCTGGGGAATGCGCTGGTAACAGTGCAGCAGAGGCACTGATAACAGTACTGTGCCCAGTACGGCTACGCAGGTTTACTTACAATAGAGTGTGCTATAGGAACCACTTGATGTGTATAAGGGATCGTTGGGGGCTTCAGTATTACTACCTAATGGTTAGCTATGGATTTATAGTGAAGCTAGTAACATGTGGTCTGCTGGTAGTGTTGTTGGATAGGATCAACCTCTGTTTATGTGGTGGTTGAATTACATATGTAATTTGTGTAGTTGTCATAGTTAGACACTTAGGTTATGATCTTTCATTGTTAACTTATAAATATTCTTTTGTCCTGTTAATAAACAGTTACTTGTATTTTGAAACACTTTGTTGAGTTATTGAATCGATTGCTTATCTTACCACTACATCTAGTGTTCAAACCTGTAGTAAAAGCAGGTCTGTAACCTGTAGTGAAAACAGGTCTGTAACCTGAAGTGAAAACAGGTCTGTAACCTGAAGTGAAAACAAGTCTGTAACCAGAAGAAGCGACGAGGTCTAGAGAGGGCTACATTGAAAGTTGTCGACTTTGAATAAATACCAAAACCTATATGATCACGAATCGGATTAACGGAGTGACAACTGGTGCCCGCCCTCTCCAGACCAGTTCCCCCTATTACACTTTCTTAACTAGTCAGATGTATGTGAAAAATACAACAATGCATGTATTTTGTATGTTTGAAATTAATGGAAAATATTCTGATTAACTTTCTAACAAAGCTCTGCTTGTTGAAATTGTGCTTCTCGTGCTCTTCCCAATATTAAAATCAAAATAGTTTAAAGTTGAAATTGCCACCTATTTGAAGAAATATATCTAAATGAGAACAGTTATGAAGGATAAAAAATTCTGTGAGATGTATTTGTTGAGGAAATCTGGGTAAAAGGTACCCCTACCCCCACCCTGGTCTTAACCGTCCAAGACCACTGGCCCAACTGTCTGTGTATCAAATACTTGTATAAATACATATACATGCAATACGCCAGTGCATAGTCCCATGAACATACTCTTGTGTAACTTACAGAGCAGTATTAAACCCTAAGAGGCTTGAAAATCTGTCCATGGAACTTTACCTGGCAAGTTTAGTACATTTCACATGATGTGAAATTAGCAAGCAATGGTTAAGCTTAATTGACCCTCAACTTGGACAATTTTGGGGATTTTTTGCATAAAAACTGATAACTGAAGTTTGATGTGATTCATGTATTATAATATTTATTTACAGTGAGATTGTTGTTTTATGACACAATGTTCATTAGTCTCCCACCGGTCTCTGGAGGGGGGGATATAGGAATGGATTTAAGTTTCATGCTGTGACCATTAACATAATTATAAGAAGAAGTGTATACTGACATATGACCCATGACAAAATCCTAGTTGACCTTAAGACAATTGTGACACACGTGCACTGCTGCTGGTCTGTAGTAAATATTTTTTCACCCTCTACCAATAGGCACTAAGGAGATATTGCAACAGTCATATAATTATGCATTTGGAAGTCCATCCTTATTTATGGCAGAAGCAGAGCCAAAAGCTTCTTGAAGCAGTATTTGTGGTTGGTCCTCGGAGGGAAAATATATTTCAGACTATTGCCAACACAGACATTAGATAAGAGTAAATATCTGTTCACATCAATTTCAGCAAATTTAAATGGTGTCGATCCTGCATCTCAACTGACTGTATTGTGTTTGTTTTTCCTAAAATGTTATATATATATAACTATGGAAAAATTGCAACATCAAGAAGACATGTGTCTGGAGTACTTTCAGTACTTTGATTACTGAATTTACTAAGACTACGAGTAGAAAACTTGGGCCAATTAGAAAAAAAGAGAGAAATATCTGAAGTATTGGCACACAAATTTTGGTCAAATTTGGTTAGAAGCATCAATGGGCCAAAAGAACCCAATGTAACACAATCAATAGGCATGGCTTCCCTAGGGACAGAGAGGTAGGGTCAAAAAGGGAAATAGAGGGATGTCTTAAAAAGACTATGTAATTACTCTTTCAGTACTGATAAAGGGATTTATATATAAATGAAGCTTGTGGTACCACTAAGGGCTGTGTAATTTGTTGACAGAATTGTTGTAAGTCAAGTGTGAGCTCTGCTGTTATTGATAGAACTATGGTAAATGAAGCTGTGTTGTTTGTTGATAGAACTATGATAAATGAAGCTGTGTTCGTTTGTTGACAGAACTATGGTAAATGAAGCTGTGCTGTTTGTTGATAGAACTATGGTAAATGAAGCTGTGTTGTTTGTTGCCAGAACTATGGTAAATGAAGCTGTGTTCGTTTGTTGATAGAACTATAGTAAATGAAGCTGTGTTGTTTGTTGATAGAACTATGGTAAATGAAGCTGTGCTGTTTGTTGATAGAACTATGGTAAATTAAGCTGTGTTGTTTGTTGACAGAATTGTCGTAAGTGTAAGGGTGAGTTGGAAGTGATGCTGTACAACAGTCCAGAGGAAGATCGTGCAGAGGTGTACGACAATGTAGAATTCTATGATGAAAACATCAAAGGTCTTACAGACGAGTTGCAAAACCTGAGGGGTGAGTTTGCCACAGTTTTCTTCTGGATCACGCTTTAGCTTCTGGAAATAATCTCAAAATCCAAAAGATTTAGGACCTCTGTACCTCTGTATCTCTGTACCTCTGTATCTCTGTACCTCTATCTCTGTATCTCTGTACCTCTGTATCTCTGTACCTCTGTATCTCTGTACCTCTGTATCTCTGTATCTCCGTACCTCTGTATCTCTGTACCTCTGTACCTCTGTATCTCTGTACCTCTGTACCTCTGTACCTCTGTATCTCTGTACCTCCGTACCTCTGTATCTCTGTATCTCTCTACCTCTATCTCTGTATCTCTGTACCTCTGTACCTCTGTACCTCTGTATCTCTGTATCTCTGTATCTCTGTACCTCTGTACCTCTGTATCTCTGTATCTCTGTTTCTCTGTACCTCTGTACCTCTGTATCTCTGTATCTCTGTACCTCTGTATCTCTGTACCTCTGTACCTCTGTACCTCTGTATCTCTGTATCTCTGTATCTCTGTACCTCTGTACCTCTGTATCTCTGTATCTCTGTATCTCTGTACCTCTGTACCTCTGTATCTCTGTATCTCTGTACCTCTGTATCTCTGTATCTCTGTACCTCTGTACCTCTGTATCTCTGTACCTCTGTATCTCTGTATCTCTGTACCTCTGTATCTCTGTATCTCTGTACCTCTGTACCTCTGTATCTCTGTACCTCTGTACCTCTGTATCTCTGTACCTCTGTATCTCTGTACCTCTGTACCTCTGTATCTCTGTATCTCTGTACCTCTGTATCTCTGTATCTCTGTACCTCTGTACCTCTGTATCTCTGTACCTCTGTACCTCTGTATCTCTGTATCTCTGTACCTCTGTATCTCTGTATCTCTGTACCTCTGTACCTCTGTATCTCTGTACCTCTGTACCTCTGTATCTCTGTACCTCTGTATCTCTGTACCTCTGTACCTCTGTATCTCTGTATCTCTGTACCTCTGTATCTCTGTATCTCTGTACCTCTGTACCTCTGTATCTCTGTACCTCTGTACCTCTGTATCTCTGTACCTCTGTATCTCTGTACCTCTGTACCTCTGTATCTCTGTATCTCTGTACCTCTGTATCTCTGTATCTCTGTACCTCTGTACCTCTGTATCTCTGTACCTCTGTACCTCTGTATCTCTGTACCTCTGTATCTCTGTACCTCTGTACCTCTGTATCTCTGTATCTCTGTACCTCTGTATCTCTGTATCTCTGTACCTCTGTACCTCTGTATCTCTGTACCTCTGTACCTCTGTATCTCTGTACCTCTGTATCTCTGTACCTCTGTACCTCTGTATCTCTGTATCTCTGTACCTCTGTATCTCTGTACCTCTGTACCTCTGTATCTCTGTATCTCTGTACCTCTGTATCTCTGTATCTCTGTACCTCTGTATCTCTGTATCTCTGTACCTCTGTACCTCTGTATCTCTGTACCTCTGTACCTCTGTATCTCTGTACCTCTGTATCTCTGTACCTCTGTACCTCTGTATCTCTGTATCTCTGTACCTCTGTATCTCTGTATCTCTGTATCTCTGTACCTCTGTATCTCTGTATCTCTGTACCTCTGTATCTCTGTATCTCTGTACCTCTGTACCTCTGTATCTCTGTACCTCTGTATCTCTGTACCTCTGTACCTCTGTATCTCTGTATCTCTGTACCTCTGTATCTCTGTATCTCTGTACCTCTGTACCTCTGTATCTCTGTACCTCTGTACCTCTGTATCTCTGTATCTCTGTACCTCTGTATCTCTGTATCTCTGTACCTCTGTACCTCTGTATCTCTGTACCTCTGTACCTCTGTATCTCTGTATCTCTGTACCTCTGTATCTCTGTATCTCTGTACCTCTGTACCTCTGTATCTCTGTACCTCTGTACCTCTGTATCTCTGTATCTCTGTACCTCTGTATCTCTGTATCTCTGTACCTCTGTACCTCTGTATCTCTGTACCTCTGTACCTCTGTATCTCTGTATCTCTGTACCTCTGTATCTCTGTATCTCTGTACCTCTGTACCTCTGTATCTCTGTACCTCTGTACCTCTGTATCTCTGTATCTCTGTACCTCTGTATCTCTGTATCTCTGTACCTCTGTACCTCTGTATCTCTGTACCTCTGTACCTCTGTATCTCTGTACCTCTGTATCTCTGTACCTCTGTACCTCTGTATCTCTGTACCTCTGTATCTCTGTACCTCTGTACCTCTGTATCTCTGTACCTCTGTATCTCTGTACCTCTGTACCTCTGTATCTCTGTACCTCTGTATCTCTGTACCTCTGTACCTCTGTATCTCTGTACCTCTGTATCTCTGTACCTCTGTACCTCTGTATCTCTGTACCTCTGTATCTCTGTACCTCTGTACCTCTGTATCTCTGTACCTCTGTATCTCTGTACCTCTGTACCTCTGTATCTCTGTACCTCTGTATCTCTGTACCTCTGTACCTCTGTATCTCTGTACCTCTGTATCTCTGTACCTCTGTACCTCTGTATCTCTGTACCTCTGTATCTCTGTACCTCTGTACCTCTGTATCTCTGTATCTCTGTACCTCTGTATCTCTGTATCTCTGTACCTCTGTACCTCTGTATCTCTGTACCTCTGTACCTCTGTATCTCTGTACCTCTGTATCTCTGTACCTCTGTACCTCTGTATCTCTGTATCTCTGTACCTCTGTATCTCTGTATCTCTGTACCTCTGTACCTCTGTATCTCTGTACCTCTGTACCTCTGTATCTCTGTACCTCTGTATCTCTGTACCTCTGTACCTCTGTATCTCTGTATCTCTGTACCTCTGTATCTCTGTATCTCTGTACCTCTGTACCTCTGTATCTCTGTACCTCTGTACCTCTGTATCTCTGTACCTCTGTATCTCTGTACCTCTGTACCTCTGTATCTCTGTATCTCTGTACCTCTGTATCTCTGTATCTCTGTACCTCTGTACCTCTGTATCTCTGTACCTCTGTACCTCTGTATCTCTGTATCTCTGTACCTCTGTATCTCTGTATCTCTGTACCTCTGTACCTCTGTATCTCTGTACCTCTGTACCTCTGTATCTCTGTATCTCTGTACCTCTGTATCTCTGTATCTCTGTACCTCTGTACCTCTGTATCTCTGTACCTCTGTACCTCTGTATCTCTGTATCTCTGTACCTCTGTATCTCTGTATCTCTGTACCTCTGTACCTCTGTATCTCTGTACCTCTGTACCTCTGTATCTCTGTATCTCTGTACCTCTGTATCTCTGTATCTCTGTACCTCTGTACCTCTGTATCTCTGTACCTCTGTACCTCTGTATCTCTGTATCTCTGTACCTCTGTATCTCTGTATCTCTGTACCTCTGTACCTCTGTATCTCTGTACCTCTGTATCTCTGTACCTCTGTACCTCTGTATCTCTGTACCTCTGTATCTCTGTACCTCTGTACCTCTGTATCTCTGTACCTCTGTATCTCTGTACCTCTGTACCTCTGTATCTCTGTACCTCTGTATCTCTGTACCTCTGTACCTCTGTATCTCTGTATCTCTGTACCTCTGTATCTCTGTATCTCTGTACCTCTGTACCTCTGTATCTCTGTACCTCTGTACCTCTGTATCTCTGTACCTCTGTATCTCTGTACCTCTGTACCTCTGTATCTCTGTATCTCTGTACCTCTGTATCTCTGTATCTCTGTACCTCTGTACCTCTGTATCTCTGTACCTCTGTACCTCTGTATCTCTGTACCTCTGTATCTCTGTACCTCTGTACCTCTGTATCTCTGTATCTCTGTACCTCTGTATCTCTGTATCTCTGTACCTCTGTACCTCTGTATCTCTGTACCTCTGTACCTCTGTATCTCTGTATCTCTGTACCTCTGTATCTCTGTACCTCTGTACCTCTGTACCTCTGTATCTCTGTACCTCTGTATCTCTGTACCTCTGTACCTCTGTATCTCTGTACCTCTGTATCTCTGTACCTCTGTACCTCTGTATCTCTGTACCTCTGTATCTCTGTACCTCTGTACCTCTGTATCTCTGTATCTCTGTACCTCTGTATCTCTGTATCTCTGTACCTCTGTACCTCTGTATCTCTGTACCTCTGTACCTCTGTATCTCTGTACCTCTGTATCTCTGTACCTCTGTACCTCTGTATCTCTGTATCTCTGTACCTCTGTATCTCTGTATCTCTGTACCTCTGTACCTCTGTATCTCTGTACCTCTGTACCTCTGTATCTCTGTACCTCTGTATCTCTGTACCTCTGTACCTCTGTATCTCTGTATCTCTGTACCTCTGTATCTCTGTACCTCTGTACCTCTGTATCTCTGTATCTCTGTACCTCTGTATCTCTGTACCTCTGTACCTCTGTATCTCTGTATCTCTGTACCTCTGTATCTCTGTATCTCTGTACCTCTGTACCTCTGTATCTCTGTACCTCTGTACCTCTGTATCTCTGTACCTCTGTATCTCTGTACCTCTGTACCTCTGTATCTCTGTATCTCTGTACCTCTGTATCTCTGTATCTCTGTACCTCTGTACCTCTGTATCTCTGTACCTCTGTACCTCTGTATCTCTGTACCTCTGTATCTCTGTACCTCTGTACCTCTGTATCTCTGTATCTCTGTACCTCTGTATCTCTGTATCTCTGTACCTCTGTACCTCTGTATCTCTGTACCTCTGTACCTCTGTATCTCTGTACCTCTGTATCTCTGTACCTCTGTACCTCTGTATCTCTGTATCTCTGTACCTCTGTATCTCTGTATCTCTGTACCTCTGTACCTCTGTATCTCTGTACCTCTGTACCTCTGTATCTCTGTACCTCTGTATCTCTGTACCTCTGTACCTCTGTATCTCTGTATCTCTGTACCTCTGTATCTCTGTATCTCTGTACCTCTGTACCTCTGTATCTCTGTACCTCTGTACCTCTGTATCTCTGTACCTCTGTATCTCTGTACCTCTGTACCTCTGTATCTCTGTATCTCTGTACCTCTGTATCTCTGTATCTCTGTACCTCTGTACCTCTGTATCTCTGTACCTCTGTATCTCTGTACCTCTGTACCTCTGTATCTCTGTACCTCTGTATCTCTGTACCTCTGTACCTCTGTATCTCTGTATCTCTGTACCTCTGTATCTCTGTATCTCTGTACCTCTGTACCTCTGTATCTCTGTACCTCTGTACCTCTGTATCTCTGTACCTCTGTATCTCTGTACCTCTGTACCTCTGTATCTCTGTATCTCTGTACCTCTGTATCTCTGTATCTCTGTACCTCTGTACCTCTGTATCTCTGTACCTCTGTACCTCTGTATCTCTGTACCTCTGTATCTCTGTACCTCTGTACCTCTGTATCTCTGTATCTCTGTACCTCTGTATCTCTGTATCTCTGTACCTCTGTATCTCTGTATCTCTGTACCTCTGTACCTCTGTATCTCTGTACCTCTGTATCTCTGTACCTCTGTACCTCTGTATCTCTGTATCTCTGTACCTCTGTATCTCTGTATCTCTGTACCTCTGTACCTCTGTATCTCTGTACCTCTGTACCTCTGTATCTCTGTACCTCTGTATCTCTGTACCTCTGTACCTCTGTATCTCTGTATCTCTGTACCTCTGTATCTCTGTATCTCTGTACCTCTGTACCTCTGTATCTCTGTACCTCTGTATCTCTGTACCTCTGTACCTCTGTATCTCTGTACCTCTGTATCTCTGTACCTCTGTACCTCTGTATCTCTGTATCTCTGTACCTCTGTATCTCTGTATCTCTGTACCTCTGTACCTCTGTATCTCTGTACCTCTGTACCTCTGTATCTCTGTACCTCTGTATCTCTGTACCTCTGTACCTCTGTATCTCTGTATCTCTGTACCTCTGTATCTCTGTATCTCTGTACCTCTGTACCTCTGTATCTCTGTACCTCTGTACCTCTGTATCTCTGTACCTCTGTATCTCTGTACCTCTGTACCTCTGTATCTCTGTATCTCTGTACCTCTGTATCTCTGTATCTCTCTACCTCTGTACCTCTGTATCTCTGTACCTCTGTATCTCTGTACCTCTGTACCTCTGTATCTCTGTACTTCTGTTCCTCTGTACCTCTGTACCTCTGTACATCTGTACCTTTGTACCTCTGTACCTCTGTACTTCTGTAACAATTGTAACTAGGCACCGGAACCTTTGTTTTCTGACATGACTAGCTTTAATATATGAATTCTAAAAGAAACCCAGACATTGCAAAAATTCATAGACCTTTCTGAAGTTGATATGAAGTTATGATTTAAAAAACAAAATGTCTTTCTTATTGACAAAAATAAAACGGAATGTTTCTCATTTGATGAAACAATTTTTATTTGAAAATATGATTTAAAAAATTAAAATTAATGCAAAGGTCAACATTGATGCATTGAGGAGAAAAAAAAGTTATTTTTACAAAAGAAAGAATAAACTTAAATGAGCAGGTTTTTTAAATTTTATTTTGAACATTGTACAAAATTTGAACTGAGGTCACTTACTTCTATTGTTTGGTGTTGAGAATTTTATCTCTGTGAATAAACTCTTCTGCTGTAAGTAGTATATTCATACTAGTGAGAAGAGGTTTTGAATATTACTTTTCATAAAAATAAGCTGTGTTTATTGTTGTTAGTTGTTTAATAGTCAAGTGAACTGATTAGCTGATTAGTTGGTTGGGTGATCTTATGGGTAACTGGTTACTATATTTAACCGATTTGGCAACCATATTTTAGATGAAGAACTAATTTATGATTTTGGTATACTTAATATGTTACAGAAACTCTTCAAAAACTGTCTCCGGAGGAAATGGACGCTGTTGAACAACAGATGGCCGAAGAGAAACAAAGGCAGGAAGAAGAGAAACGACAGATAGAGGAAAAGAAAAAACAGGAAGAATTGATGCAAAAAAGAAAGGAAAAGCGATCAAAAGTGATTGAGGAGTTGGTCCACACAGAAAAGGACTTTTTACAGAGTCTTCATCTGTGTATGGAAACTTTCCTTAATCCTCTGGCAGAAAAGGTAGAAAACACTTATCTATGTGTCAGACAAGGTTTTCCTTCTTATAATTGACAAATTTCCTTTTTATACGCCTGTCAAATAAGATGGGAGTATTATGGTATGGAGCCGTCCGGCCGGCCGGCATAAACTTTGGTTTGTCCGTCAATCTCCTCCTACATTTTTCGACCGATCTCTTTGAAACTTGGTTTACATTATAACCATGATATGAAGTTGTGTTTTCCTGAAAAGAATTTTGATTTCTACAATTTTTGCAAAAGTTATTGCCCTTTGTTTATTTCAGTATTTGATTTTTGTCCTGCCATTTCCTCCTACATTTTTCAACGGATCTCTTTGAAACTTGGTATACATTATTATAATCATGGTATGAAATTGTGTCTACCTTAAAAGAATTTGGATTTGAATATTTTTGCAAAAGTTTTTGCCCTTTGTTTCATTTCAGTATTTGATTTTTTTGTCCACAGATTTTCTCCTACATTTTTTGATGGATTTTTTTAAAAAACTTAGTAGGCTAAATAATTATGATATGTTGTTGTGTCTCTCGGAAAAGAATTTTGATTCGACAACTTTTGCAAAAGTTATTGCCCTTTGTTTATTTCAGTATTTGATTTTTGACCGGCGATCGTCTCCTACATTTTTTAATCAATCTATTTGATTTAATCATGAAATCAACTTGTGTTTAATGAGTTGGAGACTAGCTTCTGATTACCTGTATTCCCTAAAATATTAACAAGGTCCCTTAAAAGTGAGTTTTGAGATTTCAATGTGAGAATCCAAATGATACATTTCATTCATGTACCGGTGACATGAATGTATCACATTGTTTGTTGTCAGGTTTGACGGCTGGTACACATGCCAATTTTTGCCATTCCTTCTATACAGTTCCCCGAACCAATACTAAATATGTTATACAACTCAATAATAATCTTTTTTTAGCTCACCTGGCACAAAGTGCCAAGTGAGCTTATGCCGTGGTGCGTCGTCCGTCGTCCGTCCGTCCGTCCGTCGTCCGGCGTCAATATTTTACTTTAAACGACTTCTTCTTAATAACCGAAAGGCCTAGGGTGATGATATTTGGCCAGAAGCAAACTGGGATGAAGGGCTACCAAGTTTGTTCAAATAAATGACCTTCATCTATTTTCAAGGTCACAGGGGTCAAATATGTTAAAAACTTTAAACAACTTCTTCTCAATAACCAAA